TTCCTTATTTTTATGATGGTTACAAGGTCACCATGGCTGAAAGGTCAATAAAAATAATAAATGTATATAGATGTATAATGTTATGAGGTTTAAGCTATTTAGACTAAACACTAGTAGGACAAAGCATAATTTATATCTATTTCCTTATTTTTATGATGGTTACAAGGTCACCATGGCTGAAAGGTCAATAAAAATAATAAATGTATATAGATGTATAATGTTATGAGGTTTAAGCTATTTAGACTAAACACTAGTAGGACAAAGCATAATTTATATCTATTTCCTTATTTTTTATGATGGTTACAAGGTCACCATGGCTGAAAGGTCAATAAAAATAATAAATGTATATAGATGTATAATGTTATGAGGTTTAAGCTATTTAGACTAAACACTAATAGGACAAAGCATAATTTATATATATTTCCTTATTTTTTATGATGGTTACAAGGTCACTCAAATCGACCAAACCTTTATAGGGATACAGTAGTGAAAACAACAGATGAAATTTAAAGTTTTTTTCTAAAAAAAACATTAATTTGATAATTATCTGGTGGTTATAAAGATTTATGATATGAAATTTGAAAATTTTTGAATGCATAAAAGTATTTTTAATTTTAAGATCAAAATTACTTTGCATGTTAGCTAGTCAACATTCGAAAAGAAAAATTGCATGTGAGAAACATCACTTAAAAAATCGTAAAACTTAATAAAAAAATCTGATATTTCGCGTATGAAAACCTTGTGATATTTACTGATAATCTGCAAAATTTCATGAAGATATGCTTACTGTATTGAAAGTTATAGCATGAAAACTATAATAAGCACAAAATGGTTACAAGGTTGGTCCCTGGGACCGAGCTCATAGCGAGAGAGTTAAAGCATGTTAGAAAGCTGTTCAATCAAGCCTAATTATAAAGTCCAGATTCTGAACTTTCAGTTAAAGCTGCTCATTTTACCTCCATATTTGGCATTAATGATATTTTGATGATTTCCAATGATGTTTATAGACCTTAAAAAATTTAAGAATTTTCTCTAGTTTTGTTTCTTTGGTAATCCCCAAAAAATGCTGTATTAACTGGGATATAAACGTATACCACGTGTAGACCTGCGACCAGTATTTGTATCAGTTGCCGATACCAATCCAATTTTAAGAATTCCAGTTTTTAAGAAGGTCGGTGTATGTGTTTTATTTGCCTTTCGTAATACATGTTTTCTCCTTGTTTTGTTTAAATCAGGAGGAGTTCTTCAACTTCAGCTGACATTTATTTGTTTTGTATTCCGATGAAAATGTGTCCTGATACGTGCGTGATTTATATGAAGAGTTTTTAACATTGAGACATGCCACTAGTATACATACATTTCAGTTCACAGGTTTAACCATGTATTATAACAGTGTTTATTCTGAATTTATCCTTTATTTTGTATATGTGCAGATTTCACGTAAAGTGTCGCCAAGAAAGCCATTAAGCTCATCTCATTCTAGCTACTGTTGTTCCTTTGTCATTTTCTAGGATATAATGCATGTTCTGCCTGTGAAAGGTATTGTGTAATGTCAACAGTAGTGTCTTTTATTGGTAGTTCAGGTGGTATATTGAGGTTATGCCTCTCTGTAATTGAATGAGAATGACCAGCATGTGGGTAACGCTGGTCACTCTGGGCAGTGTGTTTCAATAAAAGGAATGATCCTGTATTTAACAACACCGGGGACACATACTTTATTAGTGAATTAATAAAGATTGTGCATTACTTTATGTCCAGTCTCTTTGCTTCTCAGACTCAGTTATTCAGAGGTTTAGTACTATTCCATAAAAATACCCTAATCCATAAGTCTTAAGTTAATTCAACATGCGTATACCATAAACATGTATATAGTTTTTTCTTTTAGTACTAGCCTATTTCAGCTATGTTTTCAATTAAACTTGCTAAAAACCATAAACGTTGGTATGCTCGAGTTGGATTGGCTGGTTTTGGCATGTGGTAATTTCATGGATGTTAATATTATGGTTTTCTTTCTTGCTCACAGATGTATTTGTTTTGTGCCTATGACAATTACCCCTGTGTTTGTTGGATACTTGAAAGATTGGAGTTTGCCCCCCCAAAAAAAATTTAAGATTTAAACTGCCAGATTTGGGTAAATGATTCAGTACAGCAATGTTTATGGTGTTGTTTGGACAGGTCCCAAAAATCATAACCAGATGGGTAATTTTGGTGGGTATCTGGGTGCCCAAAAATTTCGTACCATTATCAACACAACAGTTTCTAACACACAGAAGGCAAGACAATGTGAACCATACAATTTATGGTTAGTTCGTGTACAATTTTGTCTTTATGTTTATAGCAAAAACATATCTAAAACTGACAATAATAAAAAAGTTATGAATGTTTGGATGGAGAAGTAAACTAAAACAGTAAATGATGTAATTATAAGTGAAAGATGAAATGATGTTAACCCCAAAACCATCATGTATACTATAACATAGACCTGTAAAGTATAGGTTACTGTATGTATTCTCACTATTCTGCATGAGGTGCTGAAACAAATCCAAACAAACACCTCTACTTTTTTTTAACTTTTCACAAATTAGTAATGAGAAATGATTTAGTGGTCACGAAATTAATATCATAGTATAACGCTTCCAACTGTTTCTTTGATTGGTAACGAAACAAAGTAATCTTTAACGATACACCCTGGATGACTGTCATTACACAATACTTGCTCTGTGCATGCAATATAGGCTGTACGTGCGGAAATTTTGCCATCGACAGCCGACCGTCATTATTACACACAACGAGAGATTACAAAACTGCTGAGTGCGCTATCAGAAAAGTTAGCACAATCAATGGCTGGATCTAACATCAAATATTTCAAGGCCAAAGCTTTGATAATTTCCCATTAAGATTAGTTTGTGAGTTTCTCACTTAAATTGCAGTGAAGTGAAGCAACAATCACCACATCCTAATATATGACAAGCAGCAGCTTGCTACAGTTGAAACAAGTTAAATAAAAGTATAGAAACTTTTCAAAGATCATACTTATACTGATACAATAATTTATACTATTTGTTATTAGTGACATTCTAGCACAGAAGTGAGCCCTATGAATCGCAGGAAACTTTCAAACCTGATGACTGTGTGATTTTCAGGTTTGAAAGTTTCCTGCGATTCATAGGGCTCACTTCTGTGCTAGAATGTCATCAGGTTTGAAAGTTTCCTGCAATTCATAGGGCTCACTTCTGTGCTAGAATGTCATCAGGTTTGAAAGTTTCCTGCGATTCATAGGGCTCATTTCTGTGCTAGAATGTCATCAGGTTTGAAAGTTTCCTGCGATTCATAGGGCTCACTTCTGTGCTAGAATGTCAATCAGGTTTGAAAGTTTCCTGCGATTCATAGGGCTCACTTCTGTGCTAGAATGTCAATCAGGTCACATTACAAAATGGCGGTAACCACGTATAAAGAACGGTTGAATAACTTTATTTATAAGGTACTCGAGATTTTTGTACACTGACTTACTAATTAGTGTTGCTGGTCTGCCACTAGAATTTAATCTGAATCTCTATCACTATGATTGCTTCCACTCTTCACTCTCTGAGTCTTGACTTTTTTGGTTGTTTTTTATTTCTGTTTTCTCTTAAAAATAATAGTTTGTCGGCAGCTCTGTTTATATTACTTTGACTTAAGCTTTGCATATCTTTTTCTTAAGAACTGTTGTGATGGATGGGTAAGTGGGTTTCCAGGAACTTGGTGAAAACACTAGTTTATAGATCAGGCAAGTTTCAGTGGAAAATTGTCATAAAGATGAACAGTCTAATAAAAGTATACAATAACTTTGAATTAATGTCTATTTGTTTGGGGATTTTGAAATATGTAAAAAAAAGGAGAATATTTGTGGTCATAATACTGAATATTTGATTATAAGATGTACAGTCTTCAAGAATTCAGTTTTATTAGAAGGTGAAACTTTGAAAAGTTCTAAATGAAATATGAAAGTAATTTAACTTAGCAAGGTTTATCATATAATATATTCAATTATCTCCAAAATTAGTATTTTCTGTATTTAGTATCATTATTTCCTTAATATGTTTCTAGTACACAGCTGTGTATTAACACAGCAATTGTCTATATGCATCGTTTCTACATGTTTCATTCGTTTACAAAGTTTCATCGGAATGTAAGTATATCTTATTACATATCAATCTTGATAATCTTAAAATGTCTTGTAAATGCAGATGTTTATGTAATGCCCTCCCTTTTTTTAAACAGTCAAATAAGTAATTTGGAAAGATACCATTTTTATATTATCAGCATTTCAACATATATTACTGAAAAATTTTCACTCACAAATACCTTTTACCATTGTGTACTAACTTGTACACTTTATTTCAAAATACTTTCACCACATTTATTTTGTTACTTCCCTTTTTCACCTGTTTAAAAGATATTTAGAAATTAAAACATTAGATAGATGTTTTGTGAATGTATTTAACAGTTATGAACTTATCTTGAAATCTGTATAATAACAAGTACATGTAAACCAAGTTGTTTAAAATTTCTAAATTCTAAGCCAACTTGATTGTGGTTGGTTTTATTTAGTGTGTCTAAAGAAAGGCCAAGGTAAGTGGGAAGATTGTATCTAAAGTAAGGCCATGGTAAGTGGGAAGATTGTGGTTGGTTTTATTTATTGTGTCTAAAGTAAGGCCATGGCAAATGGTAAGATTGTGGTTGGTTTTATTTAGTGTGTCTAAAGTAAGGCCATGGTAAGTGGGAAGATTGTGGTTGGTTTTATTTAGTGTGTCTAAAAAAAGGCCAT